GATTTTAGAGTAATAAGTCTGAACACAGTCTTACTAATTCATTAGTTAGTTTGTCACGACATGTATATGATAACAAAAGGATAGGTTACATTTGGCTTCAAATTGTGGTTGTGGCTTACTGTTTTTAATATTCACAATTTTTCAATATTGTCTAAAAGCATCCACTTGTCATAAATTACCATCCAATATCCTTCCAATCTCTACATGCATATATGTCCAATAAAATCTAGCTAGTGTACGAGAAAAATATCCAAAAGTTTTGAATTACACAAAAAGTATTATCTTTCCAAAGGAAAATAAAAGTTTGTATTGTATTTATTTCTACCAAGAAAAAGTTATAAAAAAAAAGAAGAGACTACTACGAAAACAATACATGCAAAATACACAAGAGACATGCGTGTCTGAGTGTTTGTGTTTTTGGGAAAGCCAATAATACCTTTTTCCTTTAGTGTGCACATGTGTGTATCCATCCTTCCACAGAAGCGTACGAACCCTTTTTTATAACTCATTTCACTCTCATGGGCCACAAAAAACTTTCACCATCTCATAAACTACTAATTCACCATTCCTCCAAATCATTCACACAACTAAGCCATTACCTCAAAAACATAACAAACTAACTCGTGATTAGTCAAAGATGATTACATAGATTTAGGAAGAAGGAATCTCTCTTACCCTAATCAGATCCAGGGGTATTTTAGTAAATTATCATAGGGACCCCCCTAAGTCTCTCTCGATTCCGTTACACTCTCAATATCTCTCTCCAATGGCGATGGTTACTACTACACTCTTCTTCTTCTTCTTCTCACTGTAAAAAAAGAAGAAGCAAAAAAAATGGCGGAAACTGAGAGACCCCACCGTTCTTCAAGTATTAACAGTAGTAGCAACAATGGTTCTTCTACCGATCTATTCATTTGTTTCACATCTCGTTTCTCTTCTTCTTCCTCTATGCGTCTCTCTTCCAAATCCATCCATAGTCCAGCTCGTGCCGCTTGTCTCACTACTTCTCTAAGCCGTCGTCTCCGTACTAGCGGTAGCTTGAAGAACGCTTCAGCTGGAGTTTTGAACTCTCCGATGTTTGGTGCTAACGGAGGACGGAAGAGATCTGGATCTGGTTACGAGAATAGTAGCAACAACAACAATAACATAGAGCCGTCGTCTCCGAAGGTGACGTGTATTGGTCAAGTTAGAGTGAAGACTAGGAAGCATGTGAAGAAGAAGATGAGAGCTAGATCTAGGAGGAAAGGAGGTGACTCGAGTTTTAGGAGATCCGTTGATCAAAACGACGGTGGTGGTGGTGGAGGTGGATGTCGTTTTGATGCGAGTGAGAATCGTTGGGTGCATCTTCCGGTGACTATCTGTGAGTCGTTGAGATCGTTTGGGTCTGAGCTCAACTGCTTCTTCCCGTGTAGATCTTCGTGTACGGAGAATATTCATGGAGATGGGAGGCGAGTTGAGAGTAACAACGACGGTTGCGGCGGCGGAGGAGGAGGAAGTTCGTGTGGTGCGGTGTTTACGAGGTGGTTTGTGGCGGTGGAGGAGACGTCCGGAGGGAAGAGAAGAGAGATTGAGCTTGTAGTTGGTGGAGAAGACGAAGTGGAGGAGGATAGGCGGAGGAGTCGTCGGAGACATGTTTTCGAGGGGCTTGATTTGAGTGAGATTGAGATGAAGACGGAGAAGAAAGAGAGAGGAGGAGAAGAAGTTGGACGGATGAGTATTTGTTCTCCGCCGAAGAATGCTTTGTTGTTGATGCGGTGTAGATCTGATCCGGTTAAGGTGGCGGCGTTAGCTAACCGGGTTCGTGAAAGACAGTTGTCGTTAAACGACGGCGTATACGGTGGAGGAACAGAGGAGGAAGATGATGAGAGACGAAGAAGGTTTGAGCTGGAAATTGAAGATAGGAAACGGATCGACTTGTGTGAGAAATGGATCTCCGGCGAAACTAATGTGGAGACAGAAGAAGTTTCAGTTACAGTTGCAGAAGCAGAAGTAGAAGTTCCTTTGCCTTCAAATCCAGCTACAGAGGAAGAAGAAAGAGTCAAAGCTGTGGAAGATTCGATTGTTGAAGAAGAACAAGAAGACGAAGCTTCGAAAATTCTGGATTCGTTTGAGGAAGAAATTGAAGCTACGATCATGAAAAACATTGAAGACGAAATCAGAAACGCTATAGAAGAAGATGAGAAACTGGCTGAGATGGAAGACTTAGCGGCGGTGGCGGTGGCTGAGACGGAGGAGGACGAAGAAAGCAAAGAGGTTACTGTTGCTGCCTGTATAACTCAAAATGAGGAAAGATCCGAACAAGGAAACCGAGAACCCGACCCGAGTCCGGAAGTGGTGATGAGAAGAAGTCTACAAGAGGAAACAACGGAGAAAGAGAAGGCGACGCCGTATAAGGTGTTACCGGATTGTTTGCTGCTAATGATGTGTGAACCAAAGCTCTCAATGGAAGTCTCTAAGGAGACTTGGGTCTGCAGTACAGATTTCGTCAGATGTTTACCAGGAAGACCTCCGGCGAAGAAGATACCTCCAGAAGCTACCGGAGATAATCATCATCATCATCATCAACCCAAGAAGCGGATCGTCACGGCCGTTGATTCCAACGCATCATCTCGCCGGCGGTCAATCGATAAACCACCCTTACACCTTCAGCCGCCACGGTCATCGTGTTCATACCCAGCAGCTCCACCAATAATAATGGCAGCTGCGGCGGTTGGGGAGCAGAAGGTAGCCGGAGCTAATAAGGCCTATGAGCCACCAGTGCTGCCACGTTGCAAATCGGAGCCGAGAAAGTCAGCGTCGAAGCTAGCGCCGGAAGCTTGTTTCTGGAAAAATAGGAAGCTCGAGCCACATCCTCCGGCTAGCGTCGGAGTCGGCGGCGCCGGGGTAGGGTTCTAGAAGAAAGGGGACGTGAGTGGGAATAAAGAAAACTATTTGGGTGTAATAGTAATTTCAGTATACTATTTGTCCTTGTTTGTAAATTTGTTTTGTTAGTCATAATTCATTTTCTTTCACTGTGCCAATGTTTTTTCATGAAAATCTGTATGGGCCCGTTTTTTTTGTCCGTTAGTCTAATGTCTCACTCTCTGGTCGATGAAGTCCCATCGAAAGTAACAACAACTAACGCTTCCCAACAAACGGATAGATAGGTGTACAATAAATTGAAAAAGAAGGAAACAATTTTATACATAGTTGGCTACATGAATATGATATTATTAATACATGTTTCATAGTACAAATACAAAGACCGGACTAATCAATCACCTCAACTTTGATCCTCATTGCTTTTATTTACTTCACTGTTGTCACCTGATGAGTCTTCAGGTTGTGTTGTGGCCTTCATGTCTTCATCAGAATCTTCATTGAAGGCTAATTGACCAGCGTAAAGGAGAAGTCCAAACGCGTTGAGACCAAAAACAAATGTTGCTAGATAGCATATACCGTTGATGATAGTCCTGCGGATCAAGACGTAGAGTTTGGTCTTAAGAAGTTGCCAGAATAGCTTGAGATGAGTATAGAGAAAGTGTTAAAGCTTGAATGTACCTTACGGTGACTGTGATTTGCCTAACCTGCAATAGATAGAAGACACAGATGAAGCTTTTAGAGAAGCTTAAGGTTTTGACAATAATGAATGTATAGCTAGCTAGTTGTACATAGAATTCAGAAAGCACGGTTTGGTGAAACTCTTATTGTATGTACACAGGCAGTGATCAAAAGGATAAGTGAAAGAAGGAACGAAATGAGAATCTTTAGAGAGATTAATGTTTCGATAAGAATAGGTTCTTCGCATAAAGAACTTAAGCTAGTTGCACAATGAATTCAGAACTCATGGACAAGAATGGGTCCTTTGCATAATGAAAACAGATGTCTCTTAATCATGGGCATTTACAGTTATTAAGGCCATGTTGATACTTGGAACACAAGGTACTGATATACTTTGCCAAAGCAAAGTAACACAGAAACAGCAACTTCGACACAAGCAATGAAATGATCAAAAGGGTACAAAAAGAGAGAGAGAAGAAACGAACCGAGAAGTTATCAGAGATAGTCTGGCGATTGAGTCCTGATTCAACTGTAACAGTGAATTTGTAAAGAATGAGAGCAATAACTCCTGCAGCTATCGCACCAAGAAACGCCTGAGCCGCCGATGGAGTTGAATTACCACCTTCTATCGGAGTTGAACCCAACGCTTTCAGATTATCCATTGCCTCTTCTTTCAACGATTTCTTTGCTCCAGTAGATCTGAATCTCTACAATTTCCACACCAAATCACTCAATAATCCTTCCCAAATTTCAAACACAATTCAAGTGGAAACTTGATCAAATCCATTGTCTAATTCGTCGATTTTAGACCAAATTCGGTGTTTCTTTGTTCCTTAAGAATGTCTAGGGTTTAAGTAACGAGATAGTGAGAGATTACCAGCTCTTTGGCGCGTTTAGCGCGCCGTCGAACCGAACGGATGAGGAAGACAGTGATGGCACCGGTTAGAAGCACGCTAGTAGCTAACTGGAGAGGAGTAGGGTCATCGGAAGTGGCGAAAATGGAGTTGGTAGACGAAAACGGAGACGTGGACGACGGAGGAAGCTCAATTGGACCATCTTCTTCCACCTCCGCCACATCGGCGATTTCTTTTACGACGGATACCCGGATTCTATCGGGTCGGATCCTAGTAAAGGAAGAGAGCGAATGGATTGGAGAGATAAGACGCGTCGGACGGAGACGGTGAGGGAGAGTGAAGCGACATTGGTGGCTCTGCAACACTAACATTTTCTTAGCCGTCGAAAGATTTTTATCTCACCATTAATGTCTTCTTCAAATATCCTCAGTCTAAGCCTCTAAATCGTTTAGAAGGTTTCTCTCGGTAGATACTCTTGGTGAATCAGAAGGTCCCAAACTAAACTACTAATACCAAATTTTGTATAGTTTCACTTGCTTGCTTAATCCATTTCTCGTGCACTCTTCTTCATGTAGAATATTATTTCAATTTGATTGCGCCGTCAAATCACAAAACCCATTGTTATGTTTTTGTTTTCTCCTTATTGTAGGAGAAATGATTGATGAATATTTTTTGAACAAAAGGGGAACGAAAGAATATGAAATGAGTGTTGTTTATATGTAGAAGTAGAAGCAATTTGTTTGTTAATGAAAGCGAATGATATCAGCATTCTTGTCGAACATTACTTGCGACAGTTCGAGCCCAGAACTTTATTTGAGCTTTCATGTCTTTTCTCGAATCCTTTGGAACCCATACCGGAATCGGCTGTCCCACGACCGCTGTAGACCGTGTTTTCGCGGTGGCGCGTGGGACACTCCTCTGTTCCTCTTCTTGCTTCTTCTCTAATTCAATGTCCAAATCCTTTAACATTTGAATATCTTTCGTCTCGATGCTGCTTAACGTTTTACGCAGCGTTTTGCGATTTGGGCTTCTTTGTGATTTGACGACTAATTCTTGAATAGCCTCTTCTGATCTCGAGTTTCTCGGTGGTCTATGCCTTGGAATGCTTGAAATCTACACAAATTTCAAAAACTTTCTTTTCAAATTCAGCGTCTCAATAACAGCAATGATTCAGTCAAATCATCTAAGAATTAGAAAATACTAATGTAAACAAGGATATTACCTTTGGAGTGTTGTGTTTCGTTGGAGTAAGTCCAGAAGAAGAAGAAGAGCTAGCGATGGCTTCACGGATCAAGAATCCCATTCTTGAATCATCAATCTCTTGATCTTGAAACTCATTTACATCGCCTTCTCTTCCTATGTAACTCGGCAATGTCTGAGTTCTCTGCAACCCCCCTCCCATCGAGCTATTATTGTTACTACAACTACTAGTACTACTTGTTTTGTTCTTCCTCGAACCTTCTTTAATTCCCTTTTCTCGAACCACAGGTTCCTTCTTTTGCAAGTAAGTTCTTCGTTCTTGAACCCTAACCTTCTCAGAGAACTGCCTTCTCATCATCTTATTTATCTTCTCAGGCTCGCCTCCACCTTCTTTTTTCTCTATACACGGCGGTGGAACAGAGCCTCCCCCAGTGGAAGCTTCTAGAAGCTTAGTCTCCGAATCCGAATCTCCAATTTTCGGGATTTCGGGTTTCGGACAAGTGGATGAAGAAGAAGAAGAAGATGAGGGAGAAAAAGGGTAAGGATCTGAGTGACAGTACCTCAAGATCCTTGATCTTCTATCAAGTAAATTATCAAAGAACCAGAAATCTTCGAGAAGATCATCAATGGCTTCGAATTGCTCCAATTCTTGATGATCATTCCAAGTAGAATCCATTTTTTAATTCAGACAAGAGATAACAAAAAGAGATAAGTTTGTGTTCTTGTTTCTTCTTCTTCTTCTTTTGTTCGGTTTGTATTTGAAGCATAGATTCTGGAGACTTATTTAGGAGGTGCCCATGTGGGCAACCATCACTTGTTTTTTTTTTTAATTATTTTTTATGTTTATATGTGGAGTCAATGTTTTTGTTTTGGTCCATAAATAAAAGAAGAAAATTTGAGTGAAAACAAAAAAGGTGTTGTGAAACTTATTGTTGTCTCATTCCATTCCATGAATAATGATACATATATATAGGCATATAAACCTAGGGTTTTAGAGTACATAATGAATAACCCTGATGGGCTTATTGGGCCCGGTTATAAGTCCAATATGATGTATTATAACACTCCCCCTTGGACGGAGTAACCGGACCTGATAGTCAATCGGGATCTCGATAATACGCTGGGGAATGTTGCCTCATTAAAACCTTACCAGGAAAACCCAGTGGGAAAAACCATGGTGAAGGAAAAAGAGTACAACACGCATTACTCCCCCTGATTAGAGCATCACCGTAGATCTCTAAGTCTACGCATTCCTATTTGTTGGATGAGCTTCCGGAGTGTTGAAGCGGGCAATGATTTGGTGAAAAGGTCGGCGGAGTTATCGCATGATCGGACCTGTTGAACGCTGATCGTACCATCCTTCTGCCAATCCGAGGTTGAGAAGAATTTCGGTAGGATGTGCTTCGTCCGATCTCCTTTGATATAACCTTCCTTGAGTTGAGCAATGCAAGCCGCGTTGTCTTCAAACATGAAATATCGCCTGGGACCGGTCTTTATCAGAGGCTTTGTTATCCGCTTGGATACACGCACCCAGTCCCTTTGAGTTGAGGAAAATCCTGGTGTCCATGGCCCATTCGAGATAGTTTTCACCGGAGACCTTGAGGGCCTCGAACATGAAATTGATTTCATAATAGTTATATGAATGTAATAAAATTTTCGATTTTTGTTGTTTTTTTTTTTTTTTGGAAAACTTTCTATTTGAGGAAACTTTATATTTGAGGAAAGTTTCTAATTTGGGAAACTTTCTAAATGAGGAAAGTTTCTATTCGGGAAACTTTCTATTTTAAGGAAAGTTTTCATTCCAGGTCATTTGCTATTTGAGGAAAGTTTCTAATTTAGGAAACTTTCTAAATGAGGAAAGTTTCTATTTGAGGAAACCTTCTAAATGAGGAAAGTTTCTATTTGAGGAAACTTTATATTTGAGAAAAGTTTCTAATTTGGAAAACTTTTTAAATGAGGAAAGTTTCTATTTCGGGAAACTTTCTATTTTTAGGAAAGTTTTCATTCCGGGTCATTTGCTATTTGAGGAAAGTTTCTATTTTAGGAAACCTTCTAAATGAGGAAAGTTTCTATTTGAGGGAAACTTTCTAAATGAGGAAAGTTTCTATTTGAGGGAAACTTTCTAAATGAGGAAAGTTTCTATTTGAGGAAAACTTTCTAAATGAGGAAAGTTTCTATTTGAGGAAACCTTCTAAATGAGGAAAGTTTCTAATTTGGGAAACTTTCTAAATGAGGAAAGTTTTCATTCCGGGTCATTTGCTATTTTAGGAAGGTTTCTATTTTAGGAAACTTTCTTGGGAATCGTAAATTTTAAGGATACGGAACATAAGTTCGGTTTAATGGTTTAAAGTTGGACCGGAATATTAGATTCCGGTTTGGGCCGAATTGATTTCCGGTTTAGAATAACCAGTTTGAACCGGTTTACCCAGATTGAGATCCGGTTATTATTTTGGAACCGGTTTGATAATCGGTTTAACCGATGAACCGAATTGATATTCGGGTTTAGGAGTTAACCGAGAATGATTTCCGGTTTAGGGGATACACGAAAATTGCGGTTTTGGATTTGATTTGATTTAGGTTTTAAGATTTCGGCCATGGCTTAGTGTTTTCGATTTTGAGTGTTAGGTTTAAGCAATACAAGGTTTTTGATCTTTAAGCTTTTAAGGTTTTGTTTTTACCTTTCACCAATTGGGGTTGAACGAATTGAACCGGGAGCTTAAGACCTCGGTAACTCACGCTGTCGATGAACAGTACCGATGAACATTGTCGATGAACAGTATCGATGAACAGTGTCGATGAACAGTGTCGGCGTGAACAGTATCGGTGAACAGTGTCGATGAACAGTATCGGCGAACAGTGTCGATGAACAGTATCGGCGAACAGTGTCGATGAACAGTGTCAGCGTGAACAGTGTCGGCGTGAACAATGTTTTGCGATTTTTAGGGTTAGGGTTGTTAAGAGCAAACTCGTGCTGATAACGTGTTGTGAAACTTATTGTTGTCTCATTCCATTCCATGAATAATGATACATATATATAGGCATATAAACCTAGGGTTTTAGAGTACATAATGAATAACTCTGATGGGCTTATTGGGCCCGGTTATAAGTCCAATATGATGTATTATAACAAAAAGAAATAAATTGAGACTTATTCCGAATTTGTAAAATCCTTTCATTTTCAATTGATCTGAATTTTGAAGTCAATACAGTATAGTATATATTAACTTCTAGGGAAAAATATTGACTCCACTTATTTTTAAATTTCAGGGATAAGAAATCATATTTTTGTGTAATTAGGACATTGCATAAACTTTAGTTGGAAAATTTGATAAACCAAAGGTAGTTTTGGAAAAGAAAAACCAATAATTAAGTGTTTTAAGTGGATAATTAAAATAAAATGATGGAGTATAACAAATCAAAAGGATTTCTGGCAACAACTAAGAAAAATAAGGTTTTCCAACAAAAGTTATGATTGCTAAGAAACGGCATAATAAGCCCTGTCATGACAGTCAACATGCCATGTGATTCTTAAACTAATACGTAACAATTCGGTTCATATCATATAAAATAATACAGTTTTGTCATAGTAATATTATTTCTTATCCATCGCCTCCTACTCGACAGCTAAGATTTATAGTAACCTAATAAATACAAAGATATTGGTAATATTAAAATACATGTGAATGTAAAAGCATTAAATCTCGAGCTCTGAACCTACATTGTCTACATTGTTCTCCAATTATATATAGTATGACATTGCATATTCTATGATAACATTATTTATGTGCATTAGCCGTAAATCTTTATTAGGTTACATGTGGCTAAGGCTAATCGCGTACCTGAAGATTTGTTGACGATGCTGAGAAAAGAAAGCTAATCACATCACAATCAATCTCAAGAGAAAGATATTAATACGCAGCTTGAAAAAACAGGAACTTGAGCCAAGAAACTGCTGATTTTTTTTATATCTGAGCTAAACATTTCACCAGTCTTGTAACAGAAAATCAATGGCAGAGACACCAATTGATTTGAGTAACAAAAGATAACAGATGAATCAAATCAAAAAGGCTTCATCTCAGTTGCAATCAACTCTATGAGAGAACCAAGGCAGAATCTATCATATTTACAATGCAAAGAGCGGTCATCTTCAGTACTTACCGGAACCAATATTCCATCTCTGAAAACGAATAATGGTTCAAGCCAAGTCTTATGGCTTGGATATGTATTTCCTTCATCTAAGCTCCCTTGCAATTCAGCAGAATGACTGCAACATTCCACAGAGGCAAGAAATTTACCGGATAAGCTTTTGCAAGAACATGCTTCCTTTTCTGGACATTCCTCATGATCTTCGACCTTCGCTTCCTGCATAGTACCATTGTTTTTCGCAGAGATGAACTTTCTAACAGCAGCAATAAGCTCCACTGATAATGAAGAAACCGCATCATGTATACCGTCTGTTGTGATGGAACTCCTACCAAGTCTCAATTCGCGAGTAACTAATTTATGCATTGAATCTTGGAGGATGGAGACACACTGGGAGCAGCAACGGTACAAACACACCAAACTAGGGTCATCCAGAGGATTGGTTCTTGCAGTTGTTTCAACTTGTTCAACTGGTTCAGGCATGTTGTTTGCAGATTCCAAGCCATGAACTCCGTCCCCGGCATTACCGTTATTTGAGTCAGCTGATTTGTGGGGATCTTTCAGGGAGATAGAATTGGGATCCTCAGATCCATTACGATTGTCTAGGGAATCAGCTTTTCCTTGCAAAGAAATTACTGTTCCTGTAGTTTCTACCTCGCATGATCCATGGGGAGTTTCATTCTGTTCATGGTCAGCTGCAGGAGAGTTAAGATCAAGGAGAACAGCCTGCCGAAAGGAACTCACTCCTGAATCCTCAATCACCATTTCAGTATTCGAAATAACATCAACATTCTCTTTGACCAAAGTTAAGCCATCCGTACTGTGGGTTGTAAGATGTCCAGTATCTTCAAGAAAAGGTTCATGATTTGTTCCACTATGACCATTTGCAATCTCTACAACTGGCTGATGAGTGTCGGTAAGATTACTAGATGCTATAGGGTCTGGACAATTCGTGTTTTGGGTATCTTCTTTCAGGTCTTCTTCTGACCCTTTTGATTGATCAGATGTTCCTTGCTCAGTTGGCTCATTCCTCACTGATGGATTGACTACAGAACAAGGCAATGGATTCGCCGACTCTGTTTGAGTGGTTGATTCAAAACTGTAAATAATGAAGTTGTGTTACATAAACATACATAAAAAAAAAAATTAAGTTATGTATGTGTATTAAAACGAACATACATAAATGATAAAACAAAATATTTTAAGGCGTACCTTCGCATCGCATATACCCAACTATTAACCAGATCTTCCAGATAAGCAACTTGAGACAAAATTCGAATATATCGACATCTGTCCTTTCCAGCGTTGATTTTAACATTGATCCGTCCAACTAAGAGCTCCAGAACTTTCCGTACCTCAAAGGAGACTTCCCTCAGTGATATATAGGTTCCTCTATATGCTGATAATCCAACTGCAGTAAGACCTCTGACAATGCCAGTTGAATCTTTGCCTTTAACATTGTTGGAATCGGAAGAAGTAATAGTCTGCTCTGAGGAATTACAAGGGCGAGTGATACACGAATTAAATGGCCATCCCCTCCAAGGACCAGAAACATCTGCACTTGGCCCTTCCTTAAGCTTTGATGTCACCCAACAAAGTTCAGCAAATTGAGGATACTGTAGTATTTGATAACCAAATGTGGAGACAGCTAATTGCAGGCTTGATTTTGCTTTCACATTTATGTTGATAGGTAATGGTGGAACTTTTAAAGAACCATCATCAAGAGGTTTTGATTTAACACCTGCTTCTTCCCCTGCGCCATGATCAGTATTATTCTGATAAGCTGCATCTCTGCAACCCTGGTCAGGATTCTCTCTTTTGTATTTCTTCTGTAAGCCACAGTGAGTATGGGTTCCCTGATGCACCAAATGAAGAAACACCTGGATTGCCCGCCTTGACAACTCAGTAGCAGACAGGTCAATGGCTATATCATGATCAGAACTTTCAACAACTTGTACATTGAATTGTGGAACAGCCTCAGACATAGTTGGCTGATACTCCTTTGATAGGTCGGTCTTAAAGAATTGTTGTATCTTAGGAGGCAGGAGTTTGTAGGGCATGCCAGAAGTAGCCTACCACCAAAAAATAAACAATTTTAGTCTCAAGTGTTGACAGTCTTCTCAGAGACTGCTAATCAACAAAAACGGAAATACAAGGATTTACATTACCCTTCACGATTTTTTTTTTTTTAAAAAGACAGCCCATTATCAACTAAACAAGGAAAATATATTGGAGAAAACAATATTAAGGAGGGTAAAAAGTTAAGCATACCAGAATCATCATCTTTGTGGAAACTCGCAATGATTCTACTTGCTCAAAAAATGTGTTCCAAGCATGTGAAACTCGAACAGCATTCTGTAATGCCTTTTCCTCTCCCATTTCTCGAAAAAGGGAATAACAATTCTCCTTTAAAGAAGCATCATCACACTCAATTCCCTTATTCAGTGGAGTTTCTGTCTCTACTGCCCACAAGTCAATTCTTGGCATGAATACAACACATGATTTCCTGCTTGCACATTTAACTACAAGCAGACCAGATATTCCAGTTAGGCAAGTTCACTGGAAATGGGGTAGAAACCAAGCAAATAAAATGTAACATAAGATGAAAGACTTAAATATCGCCATTACGGAAGTAAAATTATGGAAAGTTTAATAACGAAGTACGTACTTAATAAGTGAGTTACGCCTAGCACCAGATCCCCATTTCCTTCTTGTGAAATTGTTGCGGTGTCTATCTTCTGCATCTCTGCATTTCCAATAAAACAATGCAAGATACAAGAAACAAGATGTCGTTGACCAGATTTAGGACCTCCAGCAATAAGCAGTTGGAACCCTGACTTGCTCGTTGTTTCTACAGAAGCATTCCCCAAAAGCCCAGGACGTCGGCAGACTCTATGTACCATGAATTGTGCAGAACCCAAACTACAGTCGCCAGTACCAGGAATGCTTGCAACAGATCTAACCAAGTCAGATCCTCCATCCAGTATCCCAGTATAAGAAAGTCTTTGTACTATATCCTTTACAACATCTACTTCATGGAGAAGGGTAGCAACATGAGACCACCAACAACCCTCAGTTATCTTCTTGTCGCTCAAAGCAGAACGGATCACATTTTGGACATCAACCGCAGCTTTGGAAAGAAGAGGAGGTAGCAAAATACGTTCTTCAAGATGAAGGGCAACAAGTAAAGAACACAATGCCGGCAATAAAGAAGGCACCAAGTAAGTAGGAAGGGGAGAAGAAAATATATCGCTAGCTGCTATTCCTGCTCCTCTACGTGAACATGGGGGTGGGGAGCGGGATAAAGCTTCCAACCAATCTCTTTCTTCAACTGAGAAGGATGGAAGAGCAGCACGATTACTACTAGACACTCCCAACTCTGCAGCGGCCAAAGATTCTTGTAAAGGGAAACTCCTATTTAAGGCAATCATGGCAGCTTGTGTGCAGAGAGCTTGTATATCTGCACCAGCAAAACCGGCAGTTTCTTTAGCAACCCACTTGAGCAAGTATCCAGACACCGGCTTGGGCCACTTCCTAGTATGGAGTGAGATGATTGCAGCCCTATCGTCGACTGATGGTAGTGGAAAATAGATCTCCCTATCAAACCTCCCAGGCCTCCTTAATGCTGGGTCAATAGCATCAGGGTAGTTTGTTGCACCTATGACCACCACTGAGCCACGAGACTTTAAGCCATCTAGTAAAGCCAGCAATGTGGATACAACGGAGCTATGAGTTTGATCTTGCTGCCTTGACCGCTTGGGAGCGAGACCATCTATTTCATCAAAAAATATGATGGATGGTTGGCATTTTTCAGCGACCTGAAACAAGAGCCTCAACTGGCGCTCAGCATCACCAACGTATTTTCCCAGACAGTCTGCCCCTTTGCGGGCAAAGTAGGCAATTCGTCTATTACCACGAGCAAGGGAACCGATCAGCGCTCGAACCACAAGAGTTTTTCCAGTTCCAGGATGTCCATGTAAGAGGATACCTCTTGGAGGTGTAAGTCCAAGGTTATCAAAGAATTCTGGATACAGTAAGGGTATAAGAACAACCTCTTTCATACATTGAGTAACACCTTCAAGCCCAGCAACAGAGTCCCATCCCTCAAATGCCTTTCCACTCTCAGAATCAGAACCTCCAATATACTCAGGAGCAACTCTTAATAGATCTCGATGCAGTCTCTTGCTTTCACGTTTTAAAAATTCTTCATCTTCACCACATTTCTCAAACCACTTTTCTTCCGCTTCCACATCCTTGCGCCAGGCATCATTTGAGTGCTTCTTCATCTCCAGTCGCATCCTCTTGGTTTTCATCTTCGTCAGTCTGACTTGACACTGGCGACCATGGGGTTGGAAATGATGTCTATGGTCTGTGCAAGCAATGAGAAATTTACGGTGATCAAAGATGCAACCATTAGCTCGTGCACAAGGCTGCAAAATACAGAACACCACAAAGAAGTAGTCAGAGCAAGATACAGGAACAGTTACAGCTGCGAGTTAATTAGCCTATATCTCAGGTGAGGAAGGGAAACCGGAAAAGGAGTAGTAATAGACCAAATGATAGGTTCTTGGACATCGATCAACTCGACAACCAATGGTTGCCCCAGGTCTTGCACAGCGAGTGCATTTTAATGACCTCCCTCTGAAAAGTGCCGCCCTTATATTCTTTAAGCATCCTACACCAGCAAAATAAACCTGCAGTACAAGAGTATTGAACATTGACGTTAACAGAAAACAGGGTTCAGTCAAATTAATGTAACAATAAGGGCATAGTTACAATAGATAAATAAATGTACAAAACCTTTGTATGCTTAGATCAAGGAATAGAGAAAACTAGAAAATCAAGAAAATTGACAAGCCTTTTTGTATATTCTGCTCTTTAACTGTTTTCTTAAATTTTCAAGAACAGTAATGACAAATACACCATGTCAGAGATATATCAATAATTACGAAACAAACTCACAGAACATCAAAAGATTAAGCGAGAGAAAAACACAGAATTTAGAAGAGAAATAAACACTAATACTGTGACAGAATTGAATACACATTGTCTGTAAATGAACCCATGGAACATATAATATTGAAGTGATAAACACATGTAAATGCACTTAAGCAATCAAAAGACGTGTTGTGTTAATCAGAACCACACAATACCTCGGGACTCCATACGGCACAGTTCTGATGAACCCAAGTTCCAGAAATTCCATAACGATCGTTTATAGGGCCCAATAGACGGCCTAGCCATCCAGGATCATCGCCAAAACCATCCAATATGTCATAGTTTTGCTCCTCTGAAGATGAAGACCCACTATGTGCCTCTACGTCACTGTCACCATTATCTTGCATCAACTTCTTCGGGCGTTTGCCATCAGTACCAACTCCACATAAACCACAGCGTCTGGTTTGTTTGAAGAGAGGTTTACCTAGTCTATCTGATGAAGTGGAAACTGAGTCAACTGCCTTCTTGCACGTTTCATTCTGAATAGGTAACTCGTCAAGCATTTCCACACTTTCACTCCCTCTATCAAGAAACTCACTATGTTCCTTGGTCTTATTATTGGATGGTGTTCTAGAAACACCTTGCTCTCCGATGTCATCATTCTGCTCCAAACTCTCATTAACCTCGATGCTAGCTTCACGAAGTAGTTCAGGATGTAAAGTATCTCCTTCTCTGTTCTTAACTTTAGCAGCAAAATTGCTATCATCTTCTAGTATACCAGTGCCATTTCCACTTCCGGAAACCCCTACACCCATGTCCTTATTCTCATCTTCTAGCACACCAGTGCCATTTCCACTTTCCGAAACCATTACACACATCTCCTTATTCTCATCTTCAACTCCCATCTCAATCTCATTTTCCAATTCTTCCATTTGATTCCGACTTTCATTTTGTACTGCTTCCATCCTAACATTAGTATCAGCTCTCATTTCCTCCACATTAGCTTCAGTCTCACTTCCTGTCTTCTCTGCACTACCTTGTGTCTCGCTTTCCCCCTCTTCATCACTATCATCAATCTCATTGTCAGTACTGTCTGTTCCAACCTCGCTCTCAGTCTCCGTTCCATCAACTTCAGCTTCATTCTCACTATCTAAAACAACGGATCTTTTGGTAGCCATCTTCTCCTCAACTTCCTCTCTATCTTCACTGTCAGCCTGCATTGATTCCTCTGACTCGCTAGCACTCTCATCTTCCGAATTACTGGTATCGGACTCTTTTTCCCCATCTTCCGAACATTCCGATTCTTTAACATCCACTGGCTTTTTTGTTTTAATCAGCCCCCCACCTAGAGGGGCTCTTCTTTCCTCTTCCCTGTCACTTTCCACTGCTTTGTCACTCAACTCACAGGCACGGTTTCTGAAAACGAGCTTTCTTTTCCCCTTGACCACACGTCTCTGTCTCCCACTCGCTTGGGAACCAACGTTCTTCCTCCTTGACCTCAACCTGGATTTCCAACCATCCAGGGTATCCTCATCCTCATCCTCATTTCGTTTCCCTTTCTTTATACTACTAGAACTCCTATCTACGTGTTTATTTAAACGCTGCCTTTTCTTCGGAGGCGGAGGAGAAGCGTCCAAGATGGACGGTATCTTCCTGACCCTAGAGCTCCGCCGAAGTTCAGAGTCAGCACAAGCTAACCCAGACCCACCATCTCTATCCAGCGACTCTCCATGGTTTTTTTTGTATTCCTCCTCGCATATTGCAGCAAGCTTCTTACTCTTCTTCCCAGAAGGAGAACCCGAATGATTCTTTTTCATGACGAATCAACAGGCATACAACACTTGTTCTCCAGGCTGATCCAAAATGAACATAAATAAAACCAACCGCTCACCGAACCTTACGCCTTATAAATTAAACCATGAAGCAGTCTCGCGACGGATATGCTTACGAATACGCATTAAAGCGACTATCCTTAGCGCCATGATCAGCCCAAATTTGCAGAAATGAATCCGAATGAACCCAAAAACCCAAACCCTAGATCCTAATTTCGACTAATTAACTTACGAATTCCAAAATTAGGATTATAGTGATATAATCGGAAGCTTCTTCCTCCGAGAAGTTCGTCTCTCCGATGATTACTCCTCCGCAATTTACCTCAGAGTCTTAGGGCTCCACGGTTGCGCAAGTCAAATAAATACTAGAAATTCAGGAAAAAAAATTATAAGTCCCATGAAAATTTTGAATATTTTCAAAAAATTAATGTTGTTTACTAATTTTTCTATCGTGTATTTTATTATAGCCACGCTCAATTGAAGCGAGTGAAGCTCAGCCGCATGATGTCAAAATCACAGACGACTAAACACAACCGTTGATCGTTCAAAAACCAATCAGATTCGAGTTGTGGCCATGAATGACCAAATGTTTGCAAGTTTTTAAATGGTTTTTGGATTTTGGTTTATAGATTGTGTATTAGAAAAAAATATAAAAATAAAAAATAGAAAAAAGAAAGTCAAATCACAGTTAAAAAGTAAAAAATTCACTGGACATTGATTTTTTTTTTTTTTTGAAAATTGATAAAAGCTATCAAAATCCAGATTCTTTATCTATTTTAGAAAATCTATTTTTTTTATAATTTTGATTAGTTATAAAGTAGATTTTTGTAAAAACTAAATCTAAAAACAATTTTGAAGCCCACACAGCTATGGTCTAGTGTTACTTGACAATTGGGGAAGTTTGGAAGAAACAAACTCATGTTCGATCAACGCTAAAAACAAAAAAACACATCTATGTGGGAATATTGCGTTTGGGTCAAATTAGTTTACTTGGTAATCTAGTAACATGCAATTTGGCTACCCCTAACATTAGTCGGAAAACATTCCAAATTCGGAACAGACAGTGTGGTGGTTTTCGGGAGAAATTTACTCTGAAACACTTTGATACATTTTTATTAGGGCAGACCAGATCAACCAATAGGTTTATCAAAAAAAAACTTTAAAATCTACAACTAATCAAATCAAAGCATGTCTAACTTAATAATATAAGTCAACACACGAAGCTCTTAAGGCCAAAAGTGGTCTTAATCATGGGCCTTTTTTGTTTTGCTATTTCTTATACAATTTTTCTACCAAAAATTATCGCCAAACAACTTAGAAACGCTATATTACATAAGTAAATGAGGGACCTCTTAGGGCATATGCAAGGGTGCATCTTTGAAGTTTGATCTTAAGGGAGAAAAAATATTAAAATATTGTAAGAGCTTTAATTAAAATCTTTTGTAAAGTAAGTGATTATTAGTAGAACATGTTTAGATCATAGAAATTGATTTGAAATTGAAATAATGTAAGATCATTAGTTTACAATTTTAAAAACTTTAAGAAATAACTTTTAAATTGCAAACTTAAAAAACTTATACTAAAATAGATTTGAAAATAAAAAGAAACACAAAATATAATATCAAATTTTTATGAAACAAAAAAGAACATTAAAGATATAAATAAAAAAAACAAACAAACAAACATATTATTTAATTAAACCCTAGCATAGATTTCGGATCGAAGGAGAAATGAAATGTTTTTTTCCTTTGCAAAAATTCGTAGCCAATGATGAAATGATGAAGCGCCACGTCACGCTAAAACTGGGCCAAGAACAATTCTACAACAAGAACAGATCTAACACTATTCACAATATTTTCTATTTTTAAAAGGTTAAAAACACCTAAGTGTTCTCCCTTTAAATATGGCCTTATATTGAGTTCGTTTAAGCTCTCGGGCTCTTAGCCATTTTAACATCACTACATCTTTTTATCAAAGTAGTGTAGTTAAGACTGGGCAAACAGTTAAATATGTCCAAAATTTTGGTTGTTCGGATTGTTCGATTTTTGGGTAGAATTTTGAATTGCAATAAATTATAGTTTGGACATTCGGTTTGTTCGGTTTGGGTAAAAGAATTCCAAATTGAAAACCTAAGTTTATTTTAGACCCCCAACTTTGGCTCATTTTATCAATTTTGGTACATTTGCAAAGTTTGGTTCAATTCAAAAGTTCGGTTTAGACCAAAAGTTACAAGAATTTTTAAAAAAATCTAAAATTTGTGTATTTTTTTTTAAAAAAAATATTGGTAAACCATAAGAACCGTTTTGTAAGTCCATCAAAATCATCAAATATCCTTCCAAATCTCCCCAAATACGAAATCTAGAAAGTCTTCCAAAATTTGGAATCTCCAATACACCCCATCTTTTAAGGATTCAATAAATTTGTTTGCAAAACGACATGAAAATCATCGTACAGAAACATTCAAGATATATGATGAATTATTTGGTTATTGTCACGTCAGTTATAAAGATAAAAGATAAGATTTCACAATACACGTCAACCCTAGCAAAAACATTCAAGATATATGATGAATTATTTGGTTATTGCCACGTCAGCTATAAAGATAAAAGATAAGATTTCACAATACACGTCAGCCCTAGCAAAAACATATGTAGGGTTTGACGTGTACCTATAAATAAGGAAGATTAAAGCAGAAAGAGTAAAAAAACTCCCCTAGAGACTCACGCCGCTTCGAAGAGTCCAACATTTCAAGAGATCTCTAAGATTCGGCAACCCAAACACCGGTAGAACTTAAGCAACACAAAATATTTTTTCTTATCAATTTGTAAAATTGTCTCGATCTAAAACAGTTTACCCATACACCATCAAACCCCAATTCTTTTCTTTCAACGTCATAACCTGCAGCGCCGACATATCCTCCGACCAAAATCTACCATTATAAATGTAAAATTTGCATAAAAGAAATTTCTCTTTGTTAGTTAATTAATTTTTAAATCATACTGACATTTCACCCAAAAAAAATGTTTTCAATTGATATTCAACTAGATGACCTTTCAATTTATTCATTTTCAGTGTTTTTTTTTTTGGTCAGCAAACTCATTGAGCTTTTTCTCAACTCTTTAAGGTTTGAAAGGAAGTAAAGTTGAACTCTCGTGCACAGGTAAATTTCTTGACTTGAGCTAGTGTGGATGGATCCGACCATATTTATTCTTTTTTTTGGGACGAAAGGAACCGACCATTTTTATTCGTTTTCATTTTTTTATAAGGAAATGAGTGAATTTTGTTACCCTATAGACTAAAATGCACACTATTAATATTTTAATTCTTTAAAGGGCCAAAGCACAACTATTTGGAGCGTTAAAACAACCATAGTAGCAAAATGGGTGATTGGTCTAACTTACCGAAGGAGCTCCTTGGCTTAATCGCTGTCCGATTGTTTTCCATTGTCGAATTCAACCGTTTCCGTAGCATCTGCAAATCTTGGCGCTCATCTGCTTCCCGCGCCAACAAGAACCTTTTCTTAAGCTGCCCTCTCATCTACTTCATGCCCCTCGAAGTCCATGTCACCTTCCAAGGAAATATTATTCCGGCCCTCAAGTATGGCCCGTTCCTCTCGCGAGCCGCCTTCTTTCGCGTCACTCTCTCCTCCTCTCCGGACCAAGGGTGGTTGATCAAATCAGACACCGATCTCAACTCCGGGAAATTCCATCTCCTCAACTCTCTCTCGCGCCTCGCACTACGACATTCGTGCAAGCGCATTGATCTGTCAGAATTCATAGTCTCCGAGATTCAAGAAGCTTATGCGGTTTTAGAGGGCCACATGAGAAAAACAGCTCGCGCGGTTTTAGAGGGCCACATGAGAAAAACAGCTCGCGGATTCAAAAGAGTGTTTCTTTTCAAAGTCCCAGGAGGAGATCATCGTGTGCTAGTGATCGGCATCGACGGGTTGATCAGGTACTGGAAAGAAGAAAGATGGATGAGAGTCAAAGGACAAGTAGCTCAATTCTCTGACATTGTACTTGAAAAAGGTCTTACTTACGCCTTGGATACAAAAGGGATTGTTTGGTGGATTAGTTCCTCTTACGACATCTCCAGGTTCGGACCTTCACTATATGGAAACATCACTAACGGATCTTGCGGAGAAAAAAGGTATGTAAGATGTCGTGGAGTGCTTTACATTGTAGATCGTCTCATTGACGAGAATCTCCTAAAGAGAAAAGCTGATTCCTTGGCTGATGATGCCAATGCTCATTTCTTGGATGCTGATCCCGGTCATTACTTTTTCCGAGTGCTACACGACGATGTTGGGAATGTAAACTGTGAGTTATTTGAACGTGAGTGTCCCAAAACGATAGGTTTCAAGGTTTACGAGATGGATTATGAATTGGTGAAATGGGTAGAAGTCAAGTCCTTGGGAGATAATGCGTTTCTGATGGCTACCGATACTTGTTTCTCGGTTTTGGCTCGTGAGTTCTATGGATGCCTGCCAAATTCTATTTACTTCACCGACAAGGAAAACGAGATTAAGGTGTTCAAGCTAGATGATGGTAGTATCACAACAATGTCGGAATCTGAGCAGAGTTGTTTCCAAATGTTTGTTCCTAGCTTTCTCTAAATCTTGTTTAGATCAAAGCTAAATTTTTATGTATTAAGAGTACCGATCATCTGAATAAAAACTTTACCTTTCATCTTCATTTTTGGTATAGACAAAGTGTATTGAACAGAAGATGCAACTTGTTTAATGAAATATCTTCATATTCGGTACCATCACAAACCATTGATAGCACTGCTTCAGAAGAATGGCGAGCAAAGTGCTTCTGCCTTAGCTTCACATAAGGATATCCGAGGAACGACAAGAAATGAGCTGGCTTTGAGAACGACGTTATCTCATACCATACCTCACCATTTCCATCAAGCTCTATCGAAAACTGTTCTTCACCAGCTAGTAAATGACCCTGAAGAGTGCCGCTTCCGTAACCGAAATCCGCAGGGCCTTTTCTTGATTTCCGGCTTTCATCAACATAAACCACTTGTAGAGGAAGCATCACCCATGGAAGAACTTCTTTCACACAAATGCAAAACTTCTTACCGGTTTCAACAGGAGTTGCAGGATCAACAAATGCCCAATCCATTCCAAAATGCCTGCAATTTTTCAGATAGAAATCAATAAGAACAGAACCGATTGGTGTTCTTGAGATGAATAAAGAGCAACACATACTTCCAATTTTGTAGAGTTTTTTTGCCCTTCTCATAACTCTCTTTACCTGAACCGACTAAGACAAGAGCATAATTGATCAAGAATCCATCTTTATCAACCTCTGAATCTTCTTTAATTTTAGCTATAGACCTAGACGAAACTCCTCTGTACTTGTTGTCATAATTGAAGGTTCCTGTTCTGGAATATAAAAATTTCTGTTCTATTTTAAACTTGACTTGAGTATTCATGGCTTGATCCAGTTCTTGAACTGAAACTCGACGTTTCTTAGAGTGGACTTTGCTCCTTCTAGAAGTGATTATCATAAATTGCATCATCATGAGAAATCTTAAGACAAATTAAGATGGAAGAACAAACTCCAAATCAACGCAAATTTTTTTAAGAAAGGGCTTAGAAACATGAAAAAATCCGAAATCAACAGCAAAGTGAATAAGTGACTATAGTAATCGCTTGACAATTGACTGGCAGTCGACAACGCAAGAAACAAAATTGAACAAGTGACAAGAAACATGAAATAGACGACATCCTTATTTATTAGCTCCTAATAGAAGAAACGTAACGAAGATCATGAGTGACTAACAAAACTTGGGAGATAAGAAGAAGAGCACACAAGTGGGGGACAATAAAATTGTGGAGTATATCCCAAATGGCCAGGTTTCCCGTCATAGACATTGGGAGCTTCTCCCAGACTCACGGATTTGAAGTAGCCGTCGTCTCCAATGATAAAAGCTGTGTGGTACCGAGCGGTCTCAGTGTCTCGATACCCGTCTACATCGAAAACCACAGCGACTTTCTCTTGCTCGTCAATGAAGAAGCTCCCAGAGTTATGGTCAAACCGAACAGCAACAAAACCAGTGAGTTGTGGTCTCATATCCACTTTCAAAAACTTGCTCCACGACACAGCATTGGGCTCAATGTTGGTAGTAACCCAAATCTCCAATAGTTCTATTGAATCCTCACCCTGCTGATATAGCACAGCAAGCTGTTCTTCTCTAACACATGAGAGGGTCACAGTATCTTCTATAATAGAGTGAAACGGAAGAGGCAGACGGGGTCCAAATTTCTCCGTTGTAAAATCAAAGCAGAGTAAGAAGTCTTTAACCTGTTGGAGGTCTATCGTAACATCTTCCCCTCCACCAGATCCGATTCCCACTGGAGCAAAAAGGTCAGCCCCTAACTTCTCATGAGCGAAAAAATAAGTATTTCCCTTCAAAGACACACCACGTTGATAGAATTCTACCTCCCAGTCGGGTCTGATGTCAAGAACCCTCCATGAATTAGAACTAAAGTCATAGATTTCGAACCCGAAAAGGTGTTCTAAATGGATGCATTCATCCACAAACCTCAAGATTTTGTGGTTACGGTTAATGTTGTATCCGAGAGCATACTTATCTAATCTGTGGAAACTTGTTCTGGGTCCGATCCACCTTGTTTGCCCCAAATAAGGGTTCCACACCACGAGCCTTGAGTTGTCCTTGGCGACGCATAATAATAAGCCGGCGCAGTGAAAAACAGTTGATATCTCCACTTGATTAAGTAAATCTACCTGCTTTATATATAGATCAACCAAGTCTTCTTCCTTGCGGAGATGGAATCTGAGTGAACAAACCTTAGAATCCATCGTCATGACTCATGAACCCCAAAAACTGCTGCCTTGCTGCTGCTGCTTTACCCAAAATCCAATCTTTGGATAAAGCGTCCCATAGTTTGCTAGTGGATCACACTGCCGACAGGGATGTTATCGGAACCTTGGCTAGTATCTTCTCCCCTACCAAATCCGGTGGAAGATCGCATATCCTCTTAGTCATTCTTCCAACTTTAGACAGACGTCACAACTAGGGCTTTCTCTCTAATACATATCTATATATAAACAGAAACCAAAAATTGAAAAATTTATAGACAATTGTATTATATTTCTATAAATGGAGAAAATAAATTAACAACGTAGACGAAAAGTATCAGCTTTACCATGAAACCCAATCGTACGCTTAACAGAAGTAATCAAGCTTGAGGTCACCAGTAATCTCCACAGGAACAACAACCATCTTCAAAACTGTGAAACCGAACAGCATCTCTCACAACGTACGCTATCTTCGTGATTTTAGACAGCCCCTTGATGAACTCATGACAATCTACGCATACCCTCAAGTTCTTGAACACTCTTATTGTCTTTCCTTTCTGGTTTAACCCGCCTGTTGCCAATGCCAGACCAATTGCTAGCTTTTCGCTGTGAGCTCTAAGGTTCTCCTCCTTTGACTCATCGTCTATATCATGCAGCTCATGTTTCAGGCCGTAAACATATCCCAATTCTTCTCTCAGTCTCCTTTCAACTTCTTTCAAAGTTTCTTGGATTACAAGTGTCAGAGGATGTGAATCCTCTCCACTACGGAAGAAATGTACCTCTCTCTCAATCTCGACCCAGCTCATACCAGCTTCTTTCTGCAACCCTTTTATACTCCCAAGCTCTCGTGCGTTCCCTTGTTCGTTCCAATAACCGGCTTGCCCATATAGGTTGGACATCATCACGTAATTTGCAGGATTCTTTCCATCTATCCTCAAAAGAATCTTACCCACTTCTTTCCCTAATTCGATGTCCCCATGTACTCGACAGAGGCTAAGAAGTGTTTGCCATATTCCGACATTTGGTTTAATCGGCATTGTGTCAACCAGATGTTTAGCTTCCTTCAAACGACCAGCTCGTCCTAGTAGATCAACTACACATGCATAGTGTTCTACCCTAGGTTTGATACCCTGTGTCTCTAGTAACTTTGAAAAAAGTTCTTCACCTTCTTTGATCATACCAGAATGGCTACAAGCAGAAAGTACAGCTAAATAGCATACCTCATCAGGCTCAATGTTATGCCTCAACATTTTGTTAAAAATACTAACAGCTTTTTTGCCAAGCCCGTGCTTCCCGTAGCCAGTGATCATTACAGTCCAGGAGATCACATCTTTCAACTGCATTTCGGCGAAGCATTTCTCAGCCTCATCAACTAATCCACACTTGAGATACATGTCCACCAGTGAATTCGAAACAGATGTTTCTAACCCAGATGGAAGTTTCACAACGAGTGCTTGCATTTGCTTCCCTTGCTGCAAGAGGGCAAAATCAGCAAAGACTCCAATGATGCTAGAAAGAACAAAACTGTCAATCTGAGAGCTTAGCTCCTGTAGTCGCTTAAACAAACCCATCGCCTCCACGAAGTCACCCTCTTGAGCATATCCAAGAATCAATGAACTCCATGAGATCATTGTCTTTTCCTTGATTTGATCAAAAGCTTTCCGAGCACTAAAGAGATTTCCACACTTGACATACAAATCCACAAGAGAACCGGTGATGGTTGCGGAACTTGGACAATGGAACCCACTCCTAACTAGAAAACCATGAATCTGTTTTCCTGCATAAATCATACCAGTGCTACTGCAAGCCTTCAACAAGCTAGTCAAAGTGAACTCGTCTGGCCTTTCCTTTATCTTTGCCTCTTGCATCATCCCAAACGTAGCCAAAGCTCTACTACCATAACCCGCATGTACATATCCAGCTATCATCGCGTTCCAGCTTATCAGACTCCTACCCACCATCCAACGAAACACTTTCTCAGCTTCATTGATTCTTCCACATTTTGAATACATGTCAACCAAAGAATTACCCACCTCAACCATCATTTCAAAACCAATCTTCAAACAAAACCCATGAATCTGCAACCCCTTCTCAAGCGCATTAAGCAAACCACAAGCTTTTAGATTCGTCGAGAAAGTAAACTCGTTTGGGTAAATACCCTGACGCCCCATTTCAGTGAAAAGAGATAAGGACCCGTTAAGGTCACCATTAAGTACATGACCGCTCATTAGAGCCGTCCATGAAACAACATTTCTCTCAGGCATACTGTCGAACACCTTATAAGCTATCAACTGTTCTCTGCATTTACAGTACATATCGATAAGATAGTTGCTCGTAATCAAATTCAAACCCGATCCAGACTTGAGAAGAAAACAATGAACTTGACCTCCTTGACCAGAAAGCCCCTTCCTTGTGCAAACTCGCAAGATACTAACAAGGTTTTGTCGCTGATTCGTAATCATCGGTGTAATCTTGGTCCAAATGAAACACGAGTCTAAAATTCGAGTTTGTGAATATTATAAACTCAAGCACATAGCAATTTCTGTGATGAAAGAATCCGAGTTCGTAAATATTACAAACTCGAGCACATGAGAGTCTTCCTCAGTCGGCGAGTGAAGAAGGTGCTGACAAAATGAACAAAGACACAAAGTTGCTGTTTGACTTTCTGATGAACCAGCACACAGGCGATTACAGCCGAGATTGGGCCAATTCATGGGCCTCTTATTTATTCTCGAGTTTCTCAGATTTTACAAACCTTATTAATCAGAGATTCTACAAAACTTTATTGGGCCGAGATTGGGCCAAAGTTGTTACAGAGATAAAATGTCGTCTTGGAAAGCTATTTATTACATACATAACATAGCTCTCGAGTCCGAAACATGTGATCCTACAAAACCTTCTCACCAGATCACACATTTAGGACTAACCACATTGTCTTCTTAGAGCTATCATCTTAATACTCAAAAGACTTGACTAAGTAACAAATTTATTTATGGATCATGGAACTTTATTGGGTTTGTCAATTTTTCCTTGAGAGCTTTACTTAATCCTGTTCTTGAACAGAAACTCGACGTTTCGCGTATTGGATTTGCTCCTTCGAGCTGTGATCTTGAGAACTGCACCTTCTGAGAGCATCCGTTGCACCACCCTCGTGATGTTCTTTGTGTCATCAATACCCAGATGGTGACTTCCCATCAGTTTTATTCCACACTGCCTCATCATTGACACCATTCCTCTGGCCTGTCATGTCATCTAACATTGGTGAGTTTATTATAACAACAAACAATAGGATGATGATGCATAGTGATATATCCAATTTACCTCACGGCCATAGAAATTTAAGTAGATGTCTTTGAGATTGATCCACTCCGTAAAATATGGCGGAAGATTGATGTTTGAAACTACGCATTGCTCAGGAATCTTTGTCTTTATATCCCAGTTTCCACTGATAACATTAACTTAATCAGTATGCAAAAGATGGCAGGAGCTCTAAAGAAACTTTTAGGAAACTGTGTATGTGCATAAGAAGCAGTGAAGCACATCTCTTATCATTGATTCATACCATGTTATAAAAGCTGCATCGTTCAGAGCCCCATCTGTATCTTTAGTCCACAAGTCATGCTCAGCTAACCAAGCTTCAAATTCCTCAACAACTTGCTTAAATGGAATAGCTGTGTCATGCCATACACTGCAATTCGAATTTTGAAGACGATCGCAGAAACTAAAGCAAACAAAAAGAGGTGTACGAAGAAGTTTGTGGACTCTAACCCAATTCTTAGCATTATCATAACTTATGGTAGCAAAATTTAATCAACTATACCATTTGGTAACATAAGCATAAAGGATCAAGTTAATGCAACTAGAAAGGAAACATAACAAGCATTGTTGCCATATCTATATCTACACCCGGAAGTAAGAAAGAAGTAGCATACCGATCAACACCGACTTCCCCATACTTGCCTTCAATGTATTTGTTAATTGCTTGCTCGCTCATTTTGGTGGGTCTTACAAACCTTATGAAGTACAAAGAACAAATAATCAACCACATTGTCAAATTGAGCAATAAAAACTTTAAAGAACATATACTAAACCGAATTGTGAAATTTAGCTATGAGCAATAAAATTCCTAAAGAACATCAATATATTAGCTGTTCTTATGTCTAACTGTGCACTTACATTTCCTACAAAAACTTAACCAATCAAACACTCGAGACCCTTTTGATTTTAATACAAGTTGTGCCATTAAAGATAGGAAGCTGTTATAACCTGTGGAACAAGTCTACGACTTCCATGGTTTTGGCATCTACGATTAAAACAGGAAACTCAAGAATCTCAACTTTTCCTTCCAAGTCAATAACCAAGAAAAAGTTGAATTCTTGTGACTTCTTTCTCCCAAGATCAGTAGCAGCCACTGGAAGTTCCTTGGAACAATCATGGTTGAAAATTTCCAAATGGGCAGGATCATCCATCTGATAACACCAACGTAAACTATATTACCCCACGATTCACGATTATCTTTGTAAAGAATAACTATAACGATCAAGACACAGACGATAAACTCCTCGCTAGGAAAACAAGTTTCAATCTCGTTGAGACATTCCATCGAACAAGTCGCAGACATTGCATAGTTGATACTAATTCCGCATCAAAAGCGCTTGTTTAGAAACAACCGCACGGAGCAGGAACCAACCAAAAATCAAGCAGCAAATGGAATTTAAATCCGCTGTAGCAAAATTTAACAAGAAATACGATTAGCAAAGTGTTTACCTTTGTGCATTTCCCGTGAGTGTAATACAAACACATCGGTCTCCACCTTGCATTTTCACTTGCTCCCATTAACGAAAAAGTAGACGGAGAAGAAGAAGAAGAAGAAGAAATGTCAGAGGGAGAAGGAGATGAAGATACAGAATGCGTAGAGCTGCACATGATTCGTTTGGTATGAGCTAAAGCGAACGTGGCGGGATAAGAGAACCGAGTATCACGGAAAGGACTGATTCTGGACAATGAAACCCTAAATGCAGAGAATGCGGACGCCATTTTCGTCAAATAGCATGAAGATTGAAGATGAAGATGATTGAGGGACTGGGAAGCTAAAGCCTTGTTTGTTTAGAAGTAAAATTTACCAATCCAAATCGAACCAAAATTGAATTTAAAAACCAAACTTATTTATATCCACACAAACTCTAACCAAAGCCAAACCATACCATGAAAAATTAATAAACCGATTAGACCAGATAATGGACAAATCGAAAATTCCGAAACTACGATAAATGAAATTAGCTTTGACTAGCCTCAGGGAATGAACATAAACTTGGCCAAAACGAGCAGTTGAATTCAGAATCGAAAAAGAGATATTGACTATTTACATCCAAAAGTGGAAACAATTGGTATCAGACTTCACGTTTGATAAACATAACGAATGGACTAAGAAGAGCAAAAGTTAAGCAACATATGGCTTCAACTTGTTTCGTTGCAGCGCCAAAAACCCTGTCTAAGATATGTTTGATCTCTAATCTTCGTCGAGATCTTCTGTGAAGTCTTCAATCACTTCAGCCCTATTAGATTGTTTGTTCAACGAGCGCATCTCCTCGATTTCAAACTTCAACATTGCATCACAAATCACTTTGCTGTTCTGCAGTTTACCTCGGCATCCTGGGGATTTGAAGTGGTCATAGGAATGACAGATCAGCATGAAGGAACAAGAGAATGGTGTCTATAAGACGTTTTGAGCAAAAACTATTATACCTGCTACAGGACAATTCCCATTTGGATTGTTGACTATGTAATGCAGGATTACAGCTTTTTCATAGACGTGCCTGCAATCCATACTGCAACCAGAAAAAGGATCAGAGAAACACGGTATCAGTTCACTGCACAATTGTATATCATTCATGTAATTAGCCAGCACAAAATTTGATTAGTTCTACTACTACACGAAAGATGAAATAATATTCAAGCTTTATGGTCACGTATACAAGTCAGTATCGACTAAATATGGCTTTAAGGATCATTCTACTTAGACATCAAGCATGGGAGAGGACAAGCAAATCACCCGAACAAAACAAGACATCCAAGTTAAGGGGAAAAAACAATAAACATCCATTGTACCTGCGAACTGGATCTGCTAGTTCAGTGACAGGCTTCCCGCTCAAGGGACACGTCATGTTTAGTAGAGGGCACTGAGTACTGGTCATGACAATGTCCTCTTCATCGTCACCAGGCATTGGTTCACCTGCATGATGAACGTTCTGCAGCAAAACATTGACAAGAACTTAAAAAGGAAATCAGACTATGGACCTATTAGATTCAAGCTAAGACCTAAAGTTAAAAACATACCCAAACTGCTTCCCTGAACTGGCGCATCAAATGCTCATTTTGCGGCACAGAAGGTGTAGCCTTGAGTTTTGTGAATTCATCATCAAGCAACTTTTTAAAGTCCGTTAACTGCAGTCATTAGAGTAAAATCAGTCTGCTAAACCTAAAAGTAAGTAACCGAATAAGCAATTAGATAATACATAAAAGAGGGAAAGTGAGTGCCTGTTCCCCGGGTTGGTACCCATTTGCCACGGATTGAATTGCTGACGAACGGTGATTACAATCACTATACAAATCCAATAGCTCAGCCACAGAATTTTCAAGATCCTTAACCTGTGAAACCCAAAAATATCAAAATGAACAGCATGTATAGAGAGCATTTAAAAAAAAAAAAAAAACAAAGACAGACATCAAGGAAAGAGTGTTGGCTGGAGCAGACAATACCATATCAGAAAGAAAGAAAGAGATACGTGATAACAAGTTGTACAGCAATACAATTAGCCAAGAAATCAATCACATTAGAAAGACTCAAAAGGAGATGAAACTAAAAAAATTACAGACAAACGAAAAGGTTGAATCCAAAATATTAACCAACCTTGTCAGTTTGATTTTCTTTCTCCAATTGAACAGCAATGTTCTTCATCATTGCCACAGCTTTTCGGATATCCTGCAAAGATAAGTAAATAGATAGGAGACAGAGCCAATTCAAACGAAAGCAAAAGATAAAGCAGATTCTAGGCTATTATTTTGCCCTTGTTCACTTCTAACTAATCAAACCCACCATCAGCCTAAGCTCCTTACTCTCAACATCTCGGAGGGAAAATTTCAGGAATCTCAGAAACCTATACTTACATCAAAAAGGGGAAGAAGAAAAAAGTGAATTTGGTTTGAACGAAAATACTCACAGCAAGCGTGGAACTGTTATCGGACACAAGAACCAACGAAGCGTTCTGAATCCTTCCGGCAACTCCGTCAGACGAGGACGCCGACGCCATATTTATCGGTCCTTCGCTCCAATTTTCCCTTCCGAGGTTTTGTTTTGGAGGGAGAATTAGAAGACGGAAAGAGTGAAATCCCTGAGATATTACCAAGGAGGTCTTCCGCTAACTTAATTCGATTAAAAAGTCGTGCCGGCCAAACGGCGTCGTTTCCCTGCAACCTGTGTAAAGCTATAAAAGGCCGCAGCCCAATTCACTTCACAACATAATAGACTGTGTGCCGTCTTATGCTACTATAAACGACACGTAGTTAAAACGAGGAGAAGACCAAAGATGGCATGCAGTTTAAGGATATAGATCTTTGGAAACCGCCGTCGTCTTCGCTCCAATCCTCCTCCTGCTCCGGGACTCGGAGTCGCTGAAGCCGAAACTTCTTCATCCACCATTTGAATTTTCTACTGAGCTTCTTTTTGTTTGAGAACATGAGTGATCAAGAAGGAGACTGGAATTTCTATCTCAGAATCCTAAGCAATAGCGCGCGGGATTCCACGGATCCTGCTTCTGATCCATCTATACTACAATCAGTACGCATCTTATATCCATATATAGAGAATTAGCTCGAGAATGGTATTTATGAACAAGAGATTCATTGCTTGGGATTTTGTTTGAATGGTCTATGGATTAGGTGAAGAAGCTACATGGGTTCTGTAAATTGGAGAAATCAGATGATCTTGTGGCTAGAATTTATCCACAAATCAATAAGGTCTTCCATCGTTCGGTTGCTTCACTGTCTCAGTCTGAGTCAGGGACGTCCAAAGGCCTTCTCTTGCTAGTATGTTACTCTCCCTGAGAATTTTCAACTTTTTTTTTTTTTTTTTTTTACGGTTTTGGGTTCTAGTGTATGGTGCATTCAAGCATTTTTTTGTTTATGTATTAGGCCATTCTACAGTTTTTTCTTGATTTTGGGGATATGGTTCTGCACGATGCTGACCCAAGTTTGAGGACATTCTTCCGCTCATGTCTTAGCCGGTATGGACTTGCTTTATGTTTTAACTGGGTCTTATTGTGGCTCTCTGCTCTGACATGTGTGCTACTATGCGTTTATGTAGAGAAAATCTGCTGATCTTATCATCCTTTTATATCTAGTGAGTTCTCAGATTCTGCTGTTGCAGAGGCAACTTGTGAATTCCTTGTTGCGAACCAGAGAAAGCTCTTAGCATCTTTCCCAAACTTACTCCCTCAGGTATAAACTAGCCATATAAATCCTAAAACTTGCGTTTAGGTTTTAGTCTCAAGAATATTACTCTCTTAATTAGCAAACACCTCTGTTTCTTTGGTTATTACTGTGTGCAGCAACATAGGTAACAGAACTGTATCTTGCTGTCCCTATAGCTTTATGCGATCTAGCTGTTCCTTTTGCTTTCATCTAATACAAGAAATTGTATCTGCAGTTTTTCCCGTTGTTGCTTAAGCTCATTGCCTGGAATTGGGAGAAGTAAGCTGAAAATATTAATAAGTGATTTGCTCAACCACCTCGAGGGAAAAAAAATTCATGCTTCTTATTTCAGGTTGGAGAAGTCATTTCTGAAGATATTTCCAGGACTGATATCTCCTGGGTCATTTCTTCCTCTGTTTCCATCCATTGTAGATTTGCCAAGTGAGTCAGCTTGTCTGAAAAATGCTACTCGACTTCGTATATTTGTTTGTACTCTAATTTATAGACCACTTGGGTGACTCCAACTGTACTAAGATGTATTTTATAAGCTGCTGGTTTGGGAACTTCCATTGTTTTGAACTTGTGTAGTATTTCTCCATTGATGCTTGGACTGTATTCTCTCAGCCTGATTGATTTTACGAGTGTACTGTGTACTAATTATGTATCTTCTTGTTAATGTTTTTTCTAGTGTTGGTTGTGGCATTAGAAAAGGTGGAAAGGAGCTCGGGGTCTGGGTCAAGGGTTGGAGGTAGCATTGCTTCAATTCAGAAGAGTGCAGCTCCGGAGGTCTTATATTTTATAAAAACATAAACCTGTTTCACAGTTCTTAGATAGTCAATGAATGACAAGGATCCCTGTGAATGCAGATGCTTCTTGCCCTTATGGATGAAGCATATACTGGTTCAACCATCGGGGATGGAGGGGATGACTCTGAATCTGAAGATAACAATACAATAGATGTAGCTGATCCTCTGTTTCTGGAGCTTCTGAAGGACGAAAATGATGGTCTAGCTGTATGCCTTCTTCCTTTGGATTTGCTTTAATTCCAAAATCCCAACTGAAACAGTTCTATACAAATATTGTCTATTAGTAAAAAAGTTGGGGATATGTGAAAGTTGGTAGTTTTTTCAAATTATCTGATATATTTGACAAACTGAAAGCATTGTCATATTTGTGCTGCAGGAAAGACACCGCGCTTCTCCTACATTGAATGCAGCGCTACAGGCTGCTGCACGTGGTCCTCAGTCTGAGAGGATGAAGCAGACTCTTAAGATTGCTCCTCGACTTCTTGATGTCTACTTTAGTGTTACATTGCGAGATGCAAATGACTGTAAGATAATTTACAGTCTTCCTAGTTTTATTTTAGTTGCTAAAGGAGAATAAATCAGTTACCAACTTAGTTAGGCCTTTGACCACTATTGAATCCGTTCATGCTTTTTTTCTTTCTTTTTATGCTTTATCTTTTGCAGCTCTGATATGTGCATTAATCCCTCTACTCATGACAAGAAACTCTACAATGTTTCCGGATAAGAATTTTTCTCATGAGGTATCACGCTTCCTCTGTATTGATTATATGATACTTCCCTTAGAAAATCATTGGAACATGCTAATTGACAATGTTTATTGATTTCTCTCCTCTGGATCCGAGTGGAGCGTCCATTAATATATCTTCTATTCTTCAGAAATGCCAATGCCATTTTGACCTTGTAGTGTATAAACTGCATTACTGCCATATTGGACCTTATCTTACAGAGAGATTCTTTGTGTATACAGATCCGTAAGAGGCTACTAGAATTCGTACTAGCTGCATTTCAGAGGTCCCCAAATTTCATTGCCCTGCTGAAAGTAATGTCTTCCTATTTTATTTTTATTTTATGTGCTAGTAATAGCTTTAATACATGGATAAGAAGATGGCACAGTGCATTATTAAATATACCACTCAAAATCACCCTACCTTCATGGGTTACATAACATAGTCTTATGATTATGGCATATTTTCTCAAGGAGTAATTTGCTAAAATGCGTTCCCAACTTCTTACATAATGCAGAAGCCTATAATTGACCGGCTTGGCGAAGCTTACGATGATGTTGCAAAGGTCAGTTTCTAATATTTCTGACGGATGCTTTGTAAGATAATCTCCTCTAAGCATTTTCTTCCGTAGAGAGAGTTAGCCTTACAGCTATGTTGGGCAATTGGAGAGTATGGTGGCGGGGGAGAATCGCACAAAGAAGCTGCTCGCGAGCTTTTTGAAAGTTTAGAGTTGCTTCTATATGAGAATCTCTCATCAAGGTATTACAAACTTTTGTGATGTATCATCAATCTGCTTTCTTAGACAGAACATAAATGGTAATTACACTGTTTCCCCTATTTGCTTCCAACAACAACAAAAAGCCGCCTAGGTTTGAGGCAAGAGTCTGGGAATGGTTCCAGAAGAACAACACAGTCAAGACTTTTGTGTTTTGTAGTGACAGCTATCGCAAAGCTCGCAACATATCACCGGGAATTGTTACCAAGAGCCCGTGTCGCCTTGGGAAAGGTACACAGAGACATATCAAATCCACTAACGCACTTTTCAATGATCCCTAAACTTACAAATCTGAGTTCCACAATTATGTACATGTGTAGGTAGTACGGTCTTGGATATCTGATGCAAGGGTTTGGAGACGAGCACATGATTACTTAGGACTAATGAACGAACCAGGAATCTGTTGGTCTGTGTTAGGACCATCACGGGTTTCAGAAAAAAAGTTTCCAGGCACAGTTAACTGGAGCGAGGGCGGACAAAAAATGGTTGCACACATTCCATTTCACATCCTTAGTGAACAAGGAGGTAAAGAGGCTCTTCTCATCACTCTCTTAAAACTTGATTCAACAAGATGATAATGTGGTTGGAATTCTTATAGATCTAAAGTTGTGTCATTTTTTGCAGGTCCTCCGTTCCATGACTTTGCTTTCTCCGATATCATCCCCAAAAACTGATCAAACAAGTCTCTTAAATTGTTTTTTGTTGTGAATAGTGAAACCCAGAAGGTGTTTGTTGTGTGTATACTACATCTGCAACCTTTTTTTGGCAGCAGATGTAATTTTGTAACCTCTTGAGTTTTGACTCTGTTTGATTCAAATTTTGCCAAATTCTACATCAGATCCAGTTTCAGTTCTCGACCCAATTGTGACGAATTTTCTCTCGCCGTATTTTTTGATCCTCTTTTCTAACAAACTCCGAAAGGGAAAATGCCAAAAACAAAACTGAGGGTGGGTCCGGAGGCTTAGCCGTAGACTCGAAAAACGACACCGTAGGGTTCAGGGCGGAGGTCGGCGGAGATGATTCTCTCCTCCACCACACTACTCTCACTCATACATACGTCACTCGACTTCTGTCGCCACTTGTGTATTAATCTCTTGGTACGCGAGTTTTTTTTATCTCTCTCTCTCTTCTCTGTAATTCTGATGCTTTTAAAACAACAATCCACAATTATTGATCCATCCTCAGCATCATTTATGACTTTCTATTTAAATCTTCTTCTTTTTTCTCACCAAAATCAGTAGCTGACATTGATCTGTTATTATTGTTTCAATAAACTTTCTGCTTAAATAAACGTGGTGTTTTCTCAAAAACAAAAATGAAACTCCTGAGATATTTCTTTAGTCTACTTAAAAACATAACGTGTAGGTTTTAACAAAAAAAATAAAACCACATGACGGGTCGGAAGTCGGAACATAAATTAACGAAATGGTTAATTTTTTTCATCAAAAGTTTTGAATAGAAAAATAAGAATAAAAGTAGAGTTATATGTGAGACCGTAGCATAGGGTGAAATATACAGCAGGAGAGAGGGAAAAAATATGAAAGATGCATGCAAAAAATAAAATAAAAAGGATGGGAATATGATTTGATGTAAAGCCTGTGACGACTCTCTCTTTTTAATAGTATTT